CAAGGATCTTATTTTCCTTCATTCCACAAATATTTATTGAGCCTTTACTGCGTATCAGGCCCTGTGCCAGACACTGGGAATTCAACACTGAAACAAACACACTAAACCCCATCCCTGTAAATTACCTTCGGGTAGAGCGGCCTCCCAGGGAATACAGTGACTGTACAGTGTGCTAGAAGGTGGTACCCTGGGGAGAGATTAGAGCAGAGTAAGGGGGATGGAAAGTGCTGGGGAGGGAAAGCAGTGCCAGCTTTAAGGAGGTGGCCAGGTGGGCATCCTTGGGACGGCACGTCATGGAAGGTCCGGAGACCAGTGGGACTGGAGCAGAGTGGGGTGGGGAGAGAGATCAGATGTGGTCAGAGAGCTGTGGAGTTGGGGGAGGCACGTTGTGTAGGGCCCTGTAGGCCATTATAAAAACTTTGGTTCATCCTTTGAGTGAAATAGAGGAGCCAACTAGGTGGGTTTGGCCAAAGAAGTGTTGTGATCTGAATTGGGTTTTTTAGAGCTGCCTTGTTGGAAAGAGACTTGGGGGTGGGGTAATTGAGCATCCCCGTGGGCCCTGAACTGAGGCTTCACTGGGGTGCGAGAATCAGGAAACACCGGGCCAATGGGTGTGGTTGGTCAGCCTAAAACAAGGAGACCAGTGTTATCAGTTGTCCTCTTTCATAACCAACTGTATCCCCCATAATCTCCACTTTAATGTTTGGTGTTTGAAACATGCACATCCTCACATAGACAGACACAGTGTTGCGGGCCTTACGTTTACATAAATGCCACTATGCTAGGAAGCTCGTTTCTTTGTTAAGTATCCAACGCTGTTTTTAAGATCCATCCATTTTGTTCTTGTGTTTAGTTCACTGTTTCTGACGGCTGCCCAGTGCCCCCCAGCAGGCAGCTGCCACCTTTTCCTTAAATAACACTGCTGAGAGCATCCTCTGTCCCTTATGGACCCAGGGAGAAATGTCTCTGGGGAACACTGGATCTGGGACACAGACAAGCTAACTAAAGTGCTGCCAGCTTGCTTCCCAGACTGGGGTCTTCACCAGGATGAGCAGTACAGAAGTGACTGTCCCCACATCATTGCCAACACAGGGGCACAAGGTAGCCGCTCTTTATTTCCATTTGCACAGGTCTGGCTCTCAGTTTCTCCCCTCTGGTGAGCCACTCGGGCTTGCCCTGTGAACCACCCACAGCCCATTTTTCTTTTGGATTTCCTTCTTCCTGATGATTTGCAAGAATCCTTGTATAATATGTATTAATCCTTTTCCAATTTCAGTCACTGCAAATGCTCCCTTGGTCTGCCACCTGTTAGCTTTGATCGTGATGGCTGTTGGACAGAAATCCTTCCTTTGGATGCAGCTAAATCCATCCTCTCCCCTCTCCTTGCGTGTGGTGCTTTTGGGAGTGGGGTTTAAAAAGTGTCTAAATTTTGAGGACAATTAAGAAGGCAAAAAAAAAATCTGAAGCTACGCTTAGAATAAGATCAATATACAGAAATTATTTTCTCCAAGCTGGGCTTTGGAAAATAGCTATCTTACTTTATCTTTACTCATCAATGACTAATTTTGGGGTTTCTTTTCATTTTATTTTTCAAGACTAAATGGCTAGGAAGGAAGGAAATCACTTGAAGTAAATTTGGTTTTCTTAAGTTTTTCTACATAAAGCTTTTTTAAAAAAATGAAATACAGTTGATTGATGATGTGTTAGTTTCAGATGTATAGCAAAATGATTCTTTGTTGTTTTTTGGGGGGTACTTAAGTTTATATTTATTTATTTTTAATGGAGGTACTGTGGATTGAACCCAGGACCTCGTGCATGCTAAACATACACTCTACCACGAAGCTATACCCCTCCCCCCAAAATGATTCTTGAATCTGAATCTGAAAGAATATGAAAAAGAATATATATGTTTTTCAGGTTCTTTTCCATGATAGGTTATTACAAGATATTGAATATAGTTCCCTGTGCAATACACTAAATCCTTGTTGCTTATCTGTTTTATATATAGCAGTGTGTGTGTTAATCCCAAACCCCTAATATATCCAAAACCCCTAATTTATCCCTCCCTCCCACCTTTTCCCCCTCTGGTAACCATAGTTTTTCTATGTCTGTGAGTCTATTTATGGTTTGTAAATAAGTTCATTTATGTCATTTTTTTTTTAGATTCCACATATAAAAGATATCATATATTTGTCTGCCTAACTTCATTTAATATGGTAATCTCTAGGTCCCTCCAAGTTACTGCAAATGGCATTATTTCATTCTTTTTTATGGCTAGTAATATTCCATTGTGATATACACACACACACACACATATATCTATATATAAAATATAAAATAATAAAATAAAAAAATACATAAAATCTCTTCTTTATCCAGTCATCTGTCGATGGACATTTAGGTTGCTTCCATGTCTTGGCTATTGTAAATAGTGTTGCTATGAACATTGGGGTGCATGTATCTTTTTGAGTTAGAGTTTTATCCAGATACATGCCCATAAGTGGGGCTGCTGGATCATATGGTAACTCTTTTTAGTTTTTTTAAGGAAGCTCCATTCTGTTCTCCATAGTGGCCGCTCTACTACATAAAGCTTTAAAACGCAACACTCCTTGCACAGAGTTCCTAGGAGGGAAGGCGGGACAGATGACCAAGAGGGAAGCCTGGGATTCCCTCTCACCCTTCACACCGCATTGCTTGTGCTTTTAAATCTGCACAAAACTCTGTGATCCGGAGAGAAGGAAGAAGATCGAGAATAAAAGCTTTGGAAAGGAGCCTAGAGTTAGTGACTTGACAAAGAAACCACATTTTTTTTTTATTTGACTACAAATATTTATGAAATGCTATGTGCTACGAGCTGTTTTCTTTGTTGGTTTAATTATAAATACAGAAATACAGAAAGTAGGCACAAGACCCGATCCATATTTAAGGGGATTCAGGGATGGGACAGACAGACCGATGGACAACAGAGCCACAGAAGGTTGAAGAGGATTTTAAAATCTAATTTGAACACTATGGAGAATGGCGAGGAACTTCTAGAAAATTCTGTTTTGCTGCCATGACCCAAATAAAGAACTTTACAAGGCTGGGAAGGGCCCACTGAACGTTCAGGTTTCTCAATCTTTTGGAATCTAAAATCTAGGTAATAAATCAAGCTTGTGCAGGTGGAGATGGACTCAGAGGAGGAGAAAGAGCTGAGTCTGGTTCTTGGGGCTGAAGTCATGTGTAATCACAGGCAAGAAGAGGATGATTCATCTTCCAAAATCGCTCACTTCCAACTCATGATCACGAAGACAAAAAAGGGTGAAAGGTGCTATTAAATGACCAGTTATAAACCTGGCAGAAGAGCGAGAAGAGCCAGCCTGAGGACTTTCTAGAAATAATGCAGTGAAAGAGGGCGTCCACGCTGGGAATTAGGAAGGCGCTCTGTCTTCCGGTGACCTGGCCACAGACCAGCTTCTCCCCCTTCTCTGTTTCTGAGGAGAAGAAAAAAATCTCCTCATTCCCTCCTTTGAGTTTCTGTATTTAAGAGAGAAGCCCGTCTTCCGTGCCCATCACCGCCATGTCCTGTGAGGAGCGTGCAGGGCTCGTCTCAGGGTGGAAATCTCAAGGCCAGGCTTTCTTGTTTGGGCTCCTTGTTTGGGTCTCTGACACACAACCTACCGGCTGTTGATAGAGATGTTTAAGTGGCCGTGAAGTCTGGAGCCCGGATGCATCCACCTGCCAAACAGGATCAAGGGTGATGCGCCGAGATGGACAGCCAAGCACCTTGGCCTCCCTGACGGGTCCTCGGCTGCCTTAATGGATGTGTTTACAGAAAGCGGCATCGCTGCCTCGGGAGGGGAGCTAAGCTTGCTAAAGACAAAGGAAAAGCCGACAGATCAACTCTCCTTCTGCAGGTGGCGGCAGATCAAGGCTGAGGCCATCAGGCTCCCAGACAAAGTGGGGCTGGGGGGACCCTTCAGGGTGGAAGGTTTCCTCCGGACAGGACAGGACGCTCCAGGCCAATCCCCATGTTAGGCTTTGGGAGAAAGGGCGCTCCTCTATCTTTGATGACTTTTTGATAAGGAGACAGTATGTCTCCGACAGAGATGCCTGCAAACCTCTCTGTGCAAACCATTAGCATTTCAGGATCTCGGGAAAAAAAAAAAAGATCTGTTTGTGCATTCCAGACTCATGGGGCAAATGGAAGCAGGAAAAACAAACAAAAACCCAGAACTGCTGCCTTTCAGATCTGCTAACGGGCAGCTGGTGGAAACAGGCACTTACTTCTCTTCCATCGAGTGGAATAAAATTTAGACAGCTTCCGATGCCTTAGGTGTACTTTAATGTGTCTACCCTCTGGCACAGAGGCCTGTATTTATTGCATTGCCTCAAAAGCTTTTTAGCGGGTTCCCCCTTAACACCGTTATCCCCTCCTTCCTGCTGTGGGTGGCTCGGCACGGCGCTCCTGCCATTTGGTTCTGCCTTCCCCGGATCGTCCCCGCGTTGTTTTCTTGTTCCTAACAGCTGGTCCCCTTCCCTTCCCATCTGTCTCTTCATCTATTTTCAGGTTATGGCTCGGGCCCTTCCTCCTCCACAAAACCTCTATATTCTCGAACAGCTGAGAAGGGGCAGCCCCCGATAGTTGTTAGTAACACTCAGAATGGGATTCGTATTTCTCTAGAAATAAGCCGATGGCTTTAAGCTTAGATCTAATCGCAAAATGGTGTGATATAAGGTCAGCGTTGATTTGGCTATTTATAAGACAGAATACATGAAAGTTGGTTTTTTTCATTTCTTTTTCACATGTATATATACTTTAGATATCGTTAACAGCTACTTTTAAATGATAACCAACCTTATAAATAGTAGTCTCTGAACACCCTTTATAAATGATGAATGGTTTAACGTTACAACTTGGTAAGTATTTCTCCTTGAGCCACAGGATGCCTAGGACCCCCCTACCCCAGGGCACAGAGCAGCGCTGCACTATGTGCCCATTAAATACAGCAAATGCACAGTGTGCGTAGTCAGACTCAGACAATTTATTTTACTGAATTTAGATTTAAGTTCAATTAAACATTCTAACATGTACCAAGATTCAGACATCAGAGAAAAACCTATTTAAATCACAAGAGAGCAGTTCACACAGAGTCTATGGGCCAGCGGATGAACATCCATTTTATTGATTCTTAACACCCATCCGTGTGGAGTGTGACAACATGAAGCTGCCAAATGTAGAAAGTGGAGGGACATCACAACCATCCCCCAAAATAAGTATTCTTACTTTGAATGGAAAACATCGTTCAAATAAAAAACATTTAAAGATTCTCCCTTGGTTGATACAATTTCCAACTGTAAAATCAAGTCTGAGTTAGCAGAACAAAGAGGTCTCCTTGATTGGTCACATCATTCACTACTGAAGGGAAAAATCAACCTAATAAAAACAATACTCTGGAAGAGAAATAAATAAATAGTTTAACTTATAGGTAGTTCTGCTGCATTGCACGTTACCACACAAAATTCTAAAGCTGATTTTTTTTTTGAAAGCTTGGAAAACACGCTTGCCTTTTTGAGTTTCTTGCTAAGTGGTGCAGGCTTCTTACAAGGAAAAGGATCCTCCATAGGCCTGAGTTTAAAATTCAAATATCTGTTCATCCAGAGCTTGCCCACCTGGGCGCACAGCTGTGACAACAGGTGGTGAGCAGGCGGCCTTCTGGGCCTCCAGGTGGCCAGGCCGAGCCACGGTCGCCTCTTCAGTTTACCCCCGGGGTGGGCAGCGCGGCTGAAAGCAGTCTAGGGTGAAAACGGGCATAAACCACTGGTAACAAATCAGTCTATACTTCTCACGTGATGTCCTTCAATGGACTGTAAAATCCTGAGAGCGTCCTCCGGAGACTTGAGGAGCAGCAGTAGGCGTCTTTCCACCAAGAGTTATTAACACACGTGTCTCTTTGCCAGGCTCTTAACAAGTCCCCACCAGTCCAACTTCTTTTGCCTCCTATTGCTGAAAGTGTTCAGATTTTACTGCTTTCTTGGCCTGCCCTTCATGGAGATGAGTTCTTCGCTTCCTAAGTTAAGCCCATTCCTGCAGCCTCTCACCCCAGCCCGCGCCTGCGTCACGGAGAGGAAATCCTGGCGGTCTTCCCGCCAGTGGTACCAGGCAGTGAAAAACTACCGAGACCTTTCCGTGACTGCAGACGTCTCAACGCAATGTAGTGAGCCCTGAACAGCATGTTTAAAATTGCTGGCGGGGGGTGGGGGGCAGTATTTTTCCTGGTTTATTAGAAAACTGATCTTGAAAAGAATCTAGAGGAAAAGATAACAAGTGAAATTCTGGTGCAAAAACAACTATTTTAAGATTGAAGTCTGGTCACTGTTCTTGCCCATCTCTTTGTGCCCACGAGTGGCAGCGACCTTCCGGAATGAAGAGGATGGGGCTATGAACCTGTTCTTGAACAGACTTTTTGTGCAGGGTCAGCAGCATCTTCTGTGAAGGGACATTTAGTTAATATTTGAGGCTCTACAGATCACACGTAGTCCCTGTTGCTTTTTAGTTTTCCATCACTTTTTATTTTTCTTTCTTTAATGACCCTTTAAAAACTGGAACACTGTTCTCGGCTCAAGGGTCTCCTAGACTTGCCCTGTGCAGGACATGGCACCTAACTGTGCAGAGCACAAGGCCACGGGGCCTTGGAACCCTCATCTGGGGACTTCTTTTGGGGAGTGAGGTAGGTCCTGGCAGGGGAGTGCTCAGCCTTGGGTCTTCCGTGCTGGTCTCTACTCCGCTCCCCGAATAGTACAGAGCTGGACCAGATGAGCATCCTTGATTTAAGAAGCGTTTTTTTATAGTAGGAAGTCTTCATTAAGGCCTATTTAAATCTGAGCCTGTGCTGGCTTCTCCTTGCCTTGATTTGAAAGGCAAAATCACATACTCTAGGCATTGGGAAATTTTCATTCTGCAGGTTAGGGCCTTACTACTCCAAATGGCTGGTGGTAGAAAAGCTAGTATGTAAACTTCCTTCCTCTTCACCACTAACGCCACCCACAGCCCCCAGGGCAAACCCCTGTAAGAAGTCAAGGAGAAGCAGGCCAGCTCACTGCCTCTGGGGCATCCATGTGCGGCTGCGTCTTGTTAAGGAACAGTGTTTACCAGGGACCGAGGGTCTAAACAGCTGGGGACCAGCATTTAAAGAAGCTGGACTTTTCGAGACACATTTGTCTCCACCCTCTCTGAAACAAGTCTTTCTACACATCAGATGCTGTAACATCACACAGCTCCTCCAAGCTGCTTTTTGTATTTGAGAGGTAAACTGTCTACCAAAAGCTTTTCCATTGTCAGAATACTCACTTTGAAGAGCAGAGTAAGAGGATCTGCATTTCTTTCATAAATTTGTAATCTTTTAAGCCATCAATATACAGTATGCCATATTTTTTAAGTAGTTAATAATCAAGATAAAAATCCAATTTTTTTCTAAATTAAATAAGGGCTTCAGAATCAGAATTCTTTCTCTCACCAGTAATTTTTTTAAAAAAGCAGCTGATGGTTCTCAAAATATACATTTGCTACCAACTAGATGAATTTAGCTGTTCTGGAGTTAGGAAATAGTGTGCACGTGTGCGTGCACACACACACACACACACACACACACATACACGCAAAGAGTATCACCTAAAAATAATGTATGAGAATTCCCGAAGCTTCTAAACTAAATGAATAGATGAAAAACAACCAATCACACACACATCAATCCAGCTGTCCTTTTTAGGTTTTTGTTTAAACTGTCAAACTTGTTATCCTCAAAATGTGAGCTGATTTTTTTTTCGGATGAAATTCTTCTCTTGGTCGGATTTACAGTGGAATTGCCGACACCACCTCAACCACAAGGTAATAAGGAGACTCTGTCAGGCTAAGCGTGGGGTCTCCGAGGTAAAACTGCTGAGACAATTGATAAGTAACAGTGGGGTGGGTACCAACCTGAAGATGAAGAAACTGGACACAACCCAACAAGCACAAATATTCTACCGAGAAATCCTGACGTGCCTACTGGCGTGTACCAGCTCTGGTTCTACGAGCACCGAAACCAGCGAGACCATGAATTTTCCAACTCGCTCACACACACAGTGTTCTAAGGCTGCTGAAAGACGGGGTAAAGAAAGTACCTGTGATCAGGAAAAGACAACAGTAATGGGGACTGATTTTTCTAAACGAAATGAAATGAAACACTGAATTCTGAAGTGTGTGCTTTTAAAAGTAAGAGTACTGTGTTGCCTCATTTTCTTTCATCAGCATCTCTCTCTCTCTCTCTCTCTCTCTCACACACACACACAGCGCTCTGGTCGTTACTTCCTATTTTTCAGGTCTCTGCACTCTCAGTTTAAAACACCGTTCCCTCCCGGTGCCAATATCTCTCTAAGTTGGATATAAATGGTTTTGGTTTTTTAAACCTGCAAAGAAAACAAATAGCAACAGCCCAGAACAGTAAGTAAAACTACACAGCACCTCTTCAGGTTAGTGCTTTCAGGACAGAGGGAGAAAGAGGATTTCAGTTCAGTCAGTCGGTGTCTGGTTCTGCGAAAGCACCCCCGCCGTCCCACCCCGCTGGCGGAAAGCAGCCTTGGCGTTTCCCTCCAGTGTCAGAGTGATTTCTTGGCATGTGTCCTATGCAGCAAAAACGAAGTGACTTTCCCTTTTTCCTACTCCTCAGTTTAAAGCCGCACACAGAACGGCTAACAGCAGTACTTCTAGGGCAGCACAGTTTACGAACAATGGACTTTGTTTTTGTTTCAGGGAAACCAAAAGGGAGAAGGAAAACCACCACACGAGAAGGAAGAGGAGAAACCCTGAGGCAAAAATGGCTTTTCCTTTAGAGTCTTCCGGGGGCTGTGAGTCTGGTTCACAAGGTACCCGCGATCTTCTGGGAGGGCAGGCCCTCCTCCAGCCAGAGGGTGGCGGTCGCGCCGCCGCGGGGGCCCCGCCTGTGGATGCGCCGCAGCCGCAGCAGGTAGAGGAGGATGGCGAGCAGGACCACCAGGAAGCAGCCGGAGAACAGGTAGTGATTGTACACGAAGGAGAAGCCCCGCCAGTGCGCGTGGCTGGCCCGGAAGGTCTCCTGCTGGATGTCTCTGCCCACAGGGGAACAAGAGCAGAAGGAAGGACTCACTCATCAGGCAGGAAGTGTGCTGAAATGGTGCCCGGGACATTGAGGGGGGGGGCTGGTTTAGGACTCGGCTCTGCAGACAGAAGCTGTAACTCAGCCTCTGAGGCTGTGTCCTCATCTCTAAACACAGGAGGACGTGGCCCAGCAGAGCGCAGTTGTAAGTGCGAACAAGATAACACGCGAAAGTGTATTTGTAAGTCTGTAGCTGTTACCGTCATAATAATGTGGGTAACAAAACACAGAAAAATTTAGAAGAACTGTGAGGGTTTCACTAACACACAGAAGCCAGTGTGGAACCAAACCATGTGTCTGTGATCAGTAACACCCACTACTCACAATTTTTGCAGTTAACCCAGCTAAACCTATTGCTGGGAGATGCTTAATTAAATAAGGGGGAAAAACCCACAAAAACAGCTAATACTTATTAGTAAACCAGGATTCTTATGTCGGGGGGGTCAGCTGACAACTGGGTCTGTGAACTTGACTGGGAAAAAGGGCACATGTTCTTTTCCCAGTCTCTGACGGTAAAGCAGTATTTCCACTGAATGCAGGCAAAAACTGTGGTAGCATCAGCAGGACTTGTGCCTTTGTTTCTAGTGACACTCGTGATCTCTCACATCACACTGTGGTGTTTTGCAGATGCCTCAAAATATCATGGACAGGCATCACTACGCTGAAACCACAGAAAGCATGAATTCTGCTGCCGGGCCTTGTTGTTTAATGTGCTGATAAAGAACATATATTAGTATATCACAAATTTGTCTTCTGTAATATTTTGATAAATGTACTGCAGTACAATGGCTTCCTCTGCAACCTATATATTTACATGTATTAAAAACAAGGTTTTGAGACGGAGTCCAAGGCCAGAAGGTTAAGAACCCCAGAATGAACCCTTCTGTGCAGGGGCTAGGGAACAGACAGTTGAGAATAATTAAACACTTCGGTGCCGCATATGCTGGGGTGGTGGGAAGGGAGGAGGCACTGCTGGGGGAGACCAAGTCAGACTTCACCGACTCTCCCATTCCGCCCACGGCCAGCGCTAACAGCGCCCCAAGCACCCGCACCCACCACCGCCGCGATGCCTCAGACACAGAGAATCGTCTTCCGTTTGATTCTTGTTATCAAATTCCTAGCCATACCTCAAGGGTAAAAAGCGGGTCCTGTAGAGGATTGCTCCGAGGGTCCACTGAACCTCCTTGTCATAAACTTGCAAGGCTGTCTTTAAACTTCTGTAGTTGATGGGAAATGAGAAGCCCCTATGGAACACCTCAAACATCCAGGCAGATTTGAAGCACTGATACCTACGAACAGCACACATGTGAGTGGGACTGATTCATTGGTCAAAACACACGTACGCAAGTCGGCCTTATCCTTTGTGACCAACACGGGTGCACAGTCTTCAGGAGGCCGGCGCTCTGAGAGCCAAACTGTTTGCACTCCAGGCTGATTTGCTTAGTTTATGCCCCTTGTCCCACACCATCCACCTGTCAAAATCAATTCGCTCATGAAACTTGGTCCAAGTATAATTTAATGTGTGGCAAGAGAGATTTTTTCCCCTCAGGCCTTCCATCATTTAGTCAATTCAGTATGGAATAAATGCTGAGCAAGTTCCAGCTTCTCTGGACCTCAGTTTATCATAAAATGAGAAGACACGAGGGTCCTTTTCTACTCTGACAGTTTATGATTCTAAAAATTTATCAGAGGCTTGCTTTTCGGCAAAGCGCTGGGCTAAGCAAGTAATCAGATATAATAATTAATAGGACAGTCAGTGTACTTAAATGACTTAGAATGAAAGAGGATTTTCTTTAAAAGCAATCAAATAACTATAACCACAACATGATAAACGCCACGAGATATAATGAGTGCTCCAGAGATGCAGAGACAGGGAGTCTGGCTGAGTGGACAGAGGAAGACTCAGAAGGGACAGCATCTGACCTCTGACCTCAGGGCAGGACATCAACAGGCAAAGGGCAATTCCAAGTGGAGGGACAGCAAAACTGAGCAAAGAACAGTGACGTATGTTTGGGTGTGAGTATTTGCCGTCCGTTTGAAAGGAGCCCAGGGTAGACGGGAGGGGGAGGGACTGACCAGGATAAACAGGAAGGTTGGGGCCAGGGGCCCAGGCTGAGAGGTGGTCCAAGACTTACTTGAGCCTGTGGAGGTCGGCGTGAGAGGCATACAGTCCTCGGTCGAAGCGTTCCCGCAAGACCGACCACTTTGTTGCACAATAATCCTGAAAGAAATTTCACCCCCCCAAAATCATCAGTAAAGGGTTATTAAATTTTGTTTTCATTTTAAAGTGTTTACCAGATTGCTAGCCATAATCAACACATCCTTCCACTTAGGAAACACAAGCTTAACTTACTTACGTGTCCCATGAAGATGAGACACACAAATGCTCAGTGCGTACCTACTGATTAGCAAAGGCAATGCTTGTTCTTTGTCTTAAAATGAGGCCAAAGTTTCTGTTAAAGAGAGTTTCACTGCCCACAACCAGCCTCTTCAAAACTGCTTAGTTTCTGCCTCCGTGACTGCACGTGACGGGCACAGACTTTCGGAAAAGAAGAGCGGTGCTTCAGCGAGTTCAGATGAACGTCTGTGTCTGCGGCTACCAGGCTCTGGGGGCACCAAAGATGGTTCCAGAAGGCTTTGTCTTTAAGAGCAGAGATAGCGATGCCACCTCTTTCTGAAGTTATTTGTAATGATAATGCTGTCAGTTGCTGGTATTTACTGAACACTGTGCAGAATCTTTTTTTTAAATGGAGGTACTGGAGATTGAACCCAGGACCTCAGGCATGCTACGCACGTGCTCCACCACAGAGCTACAGAACAGCCCTGGCGCCTTTCCTGAATGTCACGCTTAAAGCAACCCCTTGACACGGCTACTATTCTGGCCTCTATTTAAAGGATGAAGACGCTGAGGCTCAGAGAGGCCGTGAAAGTTGCCACAGGGAACACGGAGACCAGCACCCAGCCCGGGGGAGGGGGTGAGGACGGGCACTTCAGGCAGAGGAAAGAGCACAGATGGAGGCCCGGCGGGAAGCAGCGCGGACGGGAGGGCAATAATAAGAGCATAAAGAGCCAGGTGGGGAGATCAGGTACCGGGTGGGGAGGACGGGCTAAGGTATTTGAAATTCATCCTGGAAGCCACAGGAAGCCGCTGAAGACTTGAAATGGGAGACCAGGTGGCTGTGATGGGGCTTCAGACAGAACACTGAGAGCGGTGCAGAGGGTGAACGAGGGAAGGAAGACCAATTGGGAGGAGGCTCCTGCAGTTGTGCAGGTGACAGACGGAGGCCAGGCCCAGGGCAGTGAGGGCGGTGGGACAACGAGGCTGTGAGGAGCACTGTCAGGTCATAATTACAGTGACACGTAAAGGACCGGAATCTGGGAGCCACCGAAGGCCAGTGCAGCTCACGGAGTGGGGGCAGAAGTCGGCTCGCAGAGGACTTTTTGCTTCTGCTCTATTTCTCTCGCCCAGGTGAGGGGACAGGACTCCCAGGGAGCTGCACCGCAGCCGTCCGCCCTCCACCGTGCCTTCCCGTGCCCGAGGCCCCGTTGCCGTCCACACCGGCCTCCCCAGGACACGCGGGGGAGATGTTTCCTTGCAGGTTACCTTCGCGGCTCTAGTGAATGCAGCGGCGCTGTAGTCGCCCCCCATCCGCAACACATCCTCCGTGCAGTAATAGAATTCGGAAAAGCCGTAGAATTCGCTGTTCTGGAAGTGAATAGGGGGCTGGTAGACCCCATTGAGGGAGGTCTGCGTCTCGTTCGTTTTGTTCATGAAAGGCTGGATGGTCTCTCGACACAGGTCAAAGTCCCCTGTTCCCCGCAGGAACAGCGTCTGACCGTTTTGCTGGATTTCATCTTTAATGTCCAGGGGCAGGCAGGGGTCCAGGTATGGAGTATCAGGAGTCAGCCCAGTCTGTTTCCCCAGGAGCCTACAGGACAAGGAGAAACTTCAACATGAGACTGACAGAAAATTGTGTGAAGTGGCTGTAACTCAGCGTTTCTCAAACTCTGCCCTGTGGAACACAAAAGGGTTCCTGGGAATATTCAGTTAGGAGAACACGGACTCCAGCCCTTCTTGAAGGTTCATGACAGGCACCTGTACACGGAAGACACCTTAACAGGGTCCAGGGACTCTACGACCTGGTCAGATTGCCCTGTGCTTCCCATGCCCTGTGTCACAGCCTGGCACCCATGGCCACTGAGGGTCCATGGTTAGTATATTTCTCCTGCACACTGCAGTTGAATGCCACCCACTGGGTTGTTCCCAGCTCTGTTTTTGCCACTGGTGCTTGTGATTTTAATTATAAATGGGTGAAGCATGACCGTGAAAAGAAGTTGCTGGTCCTGTGAAAGCAAGGTTAGATGCCTTAGAAAAATGTGATAAAAGCAAACTGCTAGAAAACTGCTGTCAAATTAGGTGTTAGCAAGACAAAAAATAAAAAGTTGGCAAAATTAGTAAAAAATCTAGGAGGAATTGGTATCAAACTGCTTCACAGACGTCTTTACGTCCTTGGTATTCTTTACAGAAAGTCAAAACGACCTTAAGATGAGTAGGTGCAGAGCACGACGGAGACACGACGCACGTAGCCCCAGACGAGGCTTGAGTCCAGAGCACGAGGTTAGCAGATGAACGCGGAAGTTGAAACAAAACGCTTGAGCTTTGATTCTATTTTTATGATTCTCTGTGTTAACTGATTTTTTTTAAGTTAACCAACTACTGATCCTAACTGCTGTAGGTAAGTTTCTCTTGTACCGCAGGCCCTGAGAAGTCCCACGGAAAAGAGAACTGTGTTCACTGAACGCACTGTGCGCACTACTTCAGCGACACCTCCAGATATGTCACCCCACCCCATGTGCTCACTGTTAAGCAACTGAGAGACAGAACAGAGCTTAAAGCATCTGGAGTTATGTTAGTGTTTGGTATCACGACATCATGTGGGCCTTAAAGGTGTTGGCCGCTTGAATTCAATATTCAGTCACTGACGTCAGGTCAAGGTTTTTACTTGCCCATTCAACAGACAAGCTGTTTATTCCTAAGATCAGGGTAACTCAAAATCCACTTGAATGTAATAAGTTAAAGTCTTTGCCATTAATTAAAAATGTCTAAGTGATTTAAAAAAACAATCATCACTACTAAATGACAAAGAGATAAAAAGGCATTTCAAGGCTCAATTCATGACATATGTGATGACTAGTATTTATAATTACTATAAAAGTCCAAGATGAGTCAAATGTTTGCTTCATGCCACAGTTTTTAGTTACTCTACGTCTAAATTAAGAAGTACCAGCTTCTCGACATTAAAACCGATTAGTAAAAACGAGGGTTGCAGAAGGTGTTTCTCCGAAATTCTACTTCGAATGCCACTTACAAAATATTTGTAAGACTATTACTAAAAATAACTATACCAAACTGTGCTATACTATAGACCATTTTTTTAAAAAGAAACTGGGACTCGTAATCTTTTAACTAACACTATTCAATTGATGTCTAGAGCAGACAAAGAATAAGTTCTTATTACTTTTCCTATTCACATATGCGAGTTTTTGGAAAATGAGGTACTGACTGGCTTTCTTAAAGTTCAGGCCTCCACAGGTTTATTAAGATCAAATTGTAGCCAGTGTTTTATAATAACTATAAATGGAAAATAACCTGTACAACTGTGAACCACTATGCTACACACCTGAATCTTAGATAATACTGTACATCAATATACCTCGAGAACAAAGATTAAGTCGGTCAAGGAAATACACTATTGTTTATCTCTATGAATGAGGATTTTCCCCTCAGAATGTTTTATCAAAACAAACAAAACAAAGCACCGTAATTAAGAAGATACTTCACATAACCTCAGATTTCAGATTTTTTTAATTCATCCAAACGGCTTTTCTGTTCTTATGGACTAATTTCAAATAAATAATTGCTATACACTTAAAGCTTATAAAATAAATTCAAACTGATAAAGTGTTTTTGTATATTTCCTGTATCAGAATTCTTTGTAAACTCATTTTTAAAAGTTTTACTGCCAAACATGTTTAAAACCACTAACTTTGACTTCTAGATCATTTCTTTCTCTTGAATAACTTCCTTCACTATGGTCTTACCCACTAAACAACTGCCCAGGCTGGTTTCCCACAACATCGCCAGGACATCACATAATTCACTGTTATCATCACTTATCGCAGGCCTCCAGGAGCCTGAGTGGCCCAGGTGCTGAGTTTCCCCAGGACTCTGTAATCTGGACTAGCGACACCCAGGGCACCAAAGGATTTTAATATCCTGACAGTGAAACTTCTAATCCAATTGCGGGAGCCGTGGGCTGAGAGATCCCCTTTCGGCTGGGGCTGGAGGCAGGACTCCCCTGTCCTTTTGTGTCTTCTCCCAGCTCGGCCGGCCGGGCGGTAACAAGCTGACAGTGCTGACATACGTCTGCTGACTGAGGTCTCCCTGCTCTGCCTGGATATGTCTCCTATGAGGACAGACCTAGGTTTCAAAGTGACTGCCGAGCAGTGGAAGGTGGTTTACCTGTTCTTTTGAACTGTGCTGGCAAATATTCTGTCTTCATATCTCTGTCTGGCAGCATTGCCACCAAACCCAAGAAACGTGGCCACATAGACACGGTACACATGCTCAGTTTGGTGAACATCACATCCCAAGTTAAATTCAGCCAGCAGGTTCTTAGCTACTTCCTCCTGCAGATGTAAGGATCACAAACTTTAATATGTTAAGCAATACACAAATAATGTCAAATCTTGTCAAAAAGAGGGATCTAAAAGGTTTCTTATCAAAAAGGAGCAAAAATTTCTGCTTCCGCATTTCCCAAGCATCCTTTCTAAATTAACACAACAACCCTGACTTAAGAAATTTCAGATGGGCTGCACATTTGTGGTACTGATATGACTTTCTGAAAAAGGAAGTTAGCAATATAGATCTACTAAATCTACTTATGGAATCCTATGCTTTGAAACTATCCTAAACATTGAGAAGTCTTTATACACAAAGATGTCCTTGGAAATTCTGTGACAGGAAGAAATGGATGTCATCGAGATGTACAACCCTGAGGAAGGGTTAGTTATGGTAAAAGTTTATGAAGGAATATGCTTAGGCACTGTTACATAAAGGGAAAAAATTGTACAAACAGTAAGATTATGACAACCATATTTTTAAAGACTATAAATAGGTAAAAAAGAATGAAAAGAAATACACTAAAATGCTAACAATAATATTTTTGGATGATGCATCTGATGCATCTATGGGCAATTTTTATTCCTGATTTTACAGTATTTTTCTAAACTTGCTTTTTTATATGTATTTTTACTTTATCTTGGGGGAAAAACATGACTTTTTACAAAGAGTGTAATAGTTTCTAGAGGCATGTCTGGATGGGAAGTGGGAAACACAAGATGTAACACTTGAGTTTATGAAGCATTTTTCTAAGAAACTTAATAAATACATCACTAACATTTATCCAGCCGACACAAGGTGCCTGTCAGTGCCTCAGATACACTGGTATGGACTACCTCATTTAACCTTATGGTGACCCTCTGCGAGAGGCATGCACATTTATAGCTGAAGAGACCAGCCCAAGGAAGTGAAGTGACCTGCAGAAGATCACACAGCTAGTGAGGACAGGGCGGTGATGAAGGTTGGTCCAGCTCCCATCTTTTCTAACCACACACTCCACTAGGGGAAATGGAGGAAACTCTGGTATCATCTACAGCTGAATGGGAAGAGTGATAAAGACGTGGAGCAATTCAGGAATGCATCTGGAAACCCTTTACACAGGGCTGCCCAGCCTACTGGGAAACGACAGGCAGTGGCCGAGAGCACCGATGGGGACGCAGAAATGACACAGCAAACCATACATTCAGAAGCATGGGAGCAGTGGGTACAAACCTCAGCCCTCTCCAGGAAGGTCAAAAGCTGTCTGAGCCACACACACACACACACACACACAGGTATTTTCCCCAGTTATAACTTAAGCAATCAGACGCTATTATAGTAAGTTTTACAACACCTGTTGAGAAAAGAACTGACTGGAAATATAGACAAAAACTCAAGTGTGTGGCTGACACGGACACCAAAGGAAAACTCTAGTAAGTTCAGAAAACAAACCAGCTGACTTCAATGAGCAAACAAACGGCCTAGCGGAGGTTTGCCTTGGTTTCCTCCTGTCTCCTTTCTCCTGGGTTGAGAAGGTGGTACCTCGGCAAGCACAGTAAAGATGTGTTCAGACTCAGAAAACAAAACAAAAATGGATGGAGACATGTTAAATGAAAACCAAACCAAATGGAAGGAAATTTGTACAGATAATAACCTGCTGTGAGGAGGCAAAGCTTACAGTTTTGGGGACCTCGTACGCTATCTGGGTCGACACGCCTCCCATGTCGAGAATACCGGCTGTTCTCTTACGGAGGACGGCTTTGCTGCTTTCGCTACCAGGGATGTTAACTTCCACAACTGCCTCGTCATCTGCAAAGAGCAGGAAACACCCATCGGAACAGAACAAACCCAGAGACGCGGGATCCTGTGATGAGAATCCTGTTTTCATGGGACGGTTCAAGGCTCTCTAGGCAAACCCAGCCCACCCCTTCCACTAAGAGCAAGTTAACTGTGTGAGACAGTGGCTCCCCCCACGCTCCTCCTACACGTCCAGCTGTGTCACAACGCAGCTCCTTTTCATCCTTCACATGAAACAGAAAACACTGTAACTTGCAGTTTTCAGACATAGTGCCTGGAAACATGATACTCACCATCTTCAATATGCTCAAATCGTCCAAGGACAAAATTAATGCCAATCCAAGCATACACACCTACAGACATTATAAGAAGAGTAAAGTTTTAAAATATTTTATATACTTCCTATCAGTGCAGTCTGTGCAAAGGTAGTTACCTTACTCTCTGACAACCTGTGAAACCATGACCCCAAACAGCACATCTCTCCTGATGCATCTGATCTTTCCCTAGTGGTTTTCCAAGAACTCTCAACATTATAATTTATAGTTACGTATCATTTGTGTAGGCTGAAAATATAATTCCCAAGGTAAAGTTTTCCTTTGATTTATAGGTTCTTTTGAAAATACTGGAGTTTTTACTTTTAATGAAGTTAAACCTATCAAGTGCAAGGCTTTAAAAGCAAGCAAACTCTGCTTCTTCCATTCCTTTATCCCATGCTTTCACTCAGCTCCCAAGTCTGATTTTCTTTTTGGAATATTCCTACATCCAGTCTGTACCCATTTTCATTACCACCTTGATTTAAGCTGGTCCAGCGATCTAGTCAATTTTCCTGCCCCTGCTCTCCAACTCCAACCCACTCTAGTCTCTACTGGACTGACCTACAGAACCACATCCAAACTTCACAGCCTGAGAATTCAAGACCTGTCCAATGTTTTTAATTGAATAAATTTGACACGTAACATCATGTAAATTTAAGGGGTATGGTGTGTTACTTTGATACCTTTATAAATTATACTACGATTACCCTTGTGGCAATATTATTACCACATTACACCATGATAGTACAGTATTGCTGGCTATATTCATCTACTGTGCATTAGCTCTCTATGGCTTATTTACCACTCATTACAAGTTTGTACCCTTAAACACGATCAACCTTATCTCCTCTGATAACCAACATTTTACTCTTGTTTTTTATAGTTTGACTATTTCAGATTTCACAAATCAGTGGTATCACATGGTACTTGTCTTTCCCTGACTTATCTTGCTTATTAGCATAATGTGCTCAAGGTCCATCCATGTTGTCAAAATAGCAAGATATCCTTCCTCCTTCCTCATGGCTGGATAATATTCCGCTGTGTACATATACAACATCTTTTTTTATCGCCCACCGATGGGCGTTTGGGTTGTTCCATATCTTGGTTATTGTAAATAATGCTTCAGTAAACATGGGAGTCCATGAATCTTGTCAAAATTCTATTTTCATTGAAGGGAGAGAGAAAAGGAGCCGCTCACACCATCAAGACACTGACATCACTAAGACGCATTCAACTTTTAATATTACTATGACCTTTCAAAAGGGCTGTAATCCCATCAAACTGAAATATTTTTATTCCTTGTCCATAGTGCAGCTTTTCTGACCTGTGTTGATTCACATCATTCCTTTTGCCTGTAATGAGCTCCCATCCCTGCTCAGAGCCCTAGCCTTACCATGCTTTGATGTGCTGTATTTATAATTACCCCCAGAGACCCAGTTCAGGTGCCACTTTCTCCATGAGGCCATGAGGAAAAGAAAGTTTCCCTCTTTCAGATTCTCATGGTACTTTTTCCTTATCTTCCTTATGGCATCTAAAACTTTACAGAAGCAATTAACTGTGTACCTTACTTGTCTGTAAATAGCTCAGTGGCAATATGTGACTTTCACCCAATTTTGAATTCTCTATCGTGCTTTTCACAGAGGAGGTATTTGGTGAAATGACAGATGATTTTTAAATAAATGCTTTTTGGTCTGAATTTCTAGCAAGCTATTCCCCAAATAATTTCATTGAATTGCCATTTCATCCTCAAGGAGAATTACTTCTTTGAAAACAGAACATGTTCTCAGTGTATCAAAGTCAAGAATAATTTCCCCTGCCCAGCAAGTTAATCAGTAGAAGGTCCAACAGCTCAGTACTTATTATAATTCCAGACAGCTGTACAATTTAGGCAAGGAACACAAACCTCTTCTGTCAAAACGAGTCCAAAATATGTTTTCTAAATGTGGTGAAGACAAACTAAGTTATTTTTTTTAATGGCTTAATGTTTGGATAGCAAAGATGTAAGAAACTAATTTTGCCATTTAAAAACTATAATATTTGAAGGGTATAGTTTTTCAAATTTTAAAATATTAAGAGTAATTTAATAAAATGTTCATGGGAAAGATGTGGAAGACTGAAAGGAATAGCTTCCTGAATTTCAGGTTGAAGACCAATATACCAACCTTCCTGTTTCCCGGAAATTACTTCTGCATGAGAGTCAGAAAACAGAAAGTCAAAGTGCACAGGGATGTCGGTCAGAAGGTCTTCAAGAATGGCTTTCTGCTGGCTGCAAGACAATCCAAAAATTTACACATCAAAATATTGTATCCTGAATTTTTCTGTTTTAAAAAGAGAGAGAAAAAAAACAACAATACACTATGGCTCTGGCTCTGGTATATCCTACATGAAAACAGTAAATTTTAAAACCATAGCAATTCATTGAAATGGGTAGGGTATATAGCTCAGTGGTAGAGTGCATGCTTAGCATGCACAAGGTCCTGGGTTCAATCCCCAGTACCTCCACTAGATAAACAAACAAACAAACCTAATTACATAATTGCCAACCCCAACCCAAAAAGAAAAAGACAAAAAAAAAAAAAGACAATTCACTGAAAAGACTGTTTATTTCAGGAAGGAATTTTTAGAGGCTGTGTAAATTATGTGATTCCTAGATATAAAACTACAACTGCAAACAATCGAACTAATAAAATAGAAAATCATTTTTTAAAATGACAACTTCATAATTTACTACTTATCATGATAAATAAATAAACTCAAAGATATCTGGTGAGTTTCGGCTAAGGGAATAGATCTGGTATTACTCCAGACTGTCTTCCTTTGGATGATGATGATAGAAGAGGAAGACAAGGAGGAGGGACAGGAGGGGGATGAAGAGGGAAAAAAACCCACCACCACCTCCACCACCACCAATTTGGCTTGGCCCACCCTCGTGGGAAGATCACCTTTCAGGGAGGATTCTCATTCCAGCTGTGCAGAGAATGTAGAGAGGGGTCTCTTTGTGCTTTGCCCGTGGTACATGCTCTGCAGCAAAGTTCAAGAGTGGAGAGATGTAATCACTGACTTTCTCTGGAGAGGTAGCAAATTCTGAAATGCCTACAGGAAAAGGACACATGTTAATAGGGAGATATTTTAGCTAATAAGTTACACTTCTCCATAAAACTGTCACTTACTGCAGATGGCTTGATACTATACACAGAAAATCCTAAAGACGCCACCAAAAAACTAGCAGAGCTCATCAATGGATTCAATAAAGTTGCAGGATGCAAAATTAATATTCAGAAATCTGTTCTATTTCAACACACGAACAATGAACTATCAGAAAGAGAAATTAAGGAAACGACACCATTTATCATTGCACTAAAAAGAATAAAATACTAGAAATAAACCTATCTAAGGAGGTAAAAGACCTGTACTCAGAAAACTATAAGACACAAATGAAAGAAACTGAAGACGAACAGATAGAAAGATATACCATATTCTTGGATTGGAAGACTTAATATTGTTAAAATGACCATACTACCCAAGGCAATCTACAGATTCACTGCAATCCCTATCAAAGTACCAATGGCATTTTTTTCATAGAACTAGAACAAATAATTTAAAAATTTGTCTGGAAACACAAAAGAACCTGAATGGCCAAAACAATCTTGAGAAAAAAGAACAGAGCTGGAGTAATCATGCTCCCTGGCTTCATACTATACTATAGAGCTATGGTAATCAAAACAGTATGGTACTGGCACAAAAACAGACGCACAGATCAATAGAACAGAACAGAAGCTCGGCAATAAACCCACAAACTTATGGTCAATTAATCTACAACAAAGGAGCAAGAATATACAATAAAGAAAAGGCAGCCTTTTCAATAAATGGTGCTGGGAAAACTGGACAGCTACATGTAAATTAATGAAATTAGAACACTCTCACGTTCTAAACAAAAATAAAACTCAAAATGGGTTAAAGATCTAAATGTAAGACCAAAAACCATAAATTCCCAGAAGAAAACATAAGTAGAAAACTGACATAAATAGTAGCTATATATATATATATTTTAATCTGTCTCATAAGGCAAAGGAAACAAAAATAAAAATTAACAAATGGGACACAATTAAACTTTAAAGCTTTTGCACAACAAAGGAAACTATCAGCAAAACAAAAAGACAACCTAGTGAAGGGGAGAATATATTTACAAATGATTTGACTGATAAAGGGTTAATATCCAATATATAAACAGCTCATACAATGCAGTATCAAAAAACAAAACAAAACAAAACAACCTGATTAAAAAATGGGCAGAAGACCTAAACAGACATTTTTCCAAAGAAGACATCCAGATGGCCAAGAGGCACATGAAAAGATGCTTAACATCACTAATCATCAGAGAAATGCAAATTAAAACCACAATGAGATATCATCTCACACCTGTCAGTTGGCTATCATCAAAAAGACCACAAATAACAAATGTGGTGAGGATGTGGAGAAGAGGGAACCTTTGTACACTGTCGATGGAAATGTAAACTGGTGTAGCCACTACAGAAAACGGTATGGAGGTTTCTCAAAAAACTAAAACGAGAACTACCATATGACCCAGTAATTCCACCTGGATCTATAGCTGAAGAAAACAAAAACACTTAACTTGAAAAGATACACACACTTTCAGTGTTCACTGCAGCACTGTTTATGATGGCCAAAGTATGGAAGCAACCTAAGTGTCCATCCAAGATGAATGGATACAGAAGATGTGATATATATATATATACACACACATATATACAATGGAATACTACTCAGACATAAAAAAGAATGAAATTTTGCCACTTACAACAACATGAACAGACCTGGAGGGTATAATGCTTAGTGAAATGAATCAGACACAGGAAGACAAATAATGTTAGTTACCACATATATATGGAATCTAAAAAATAAAACATGCTAGTGAATTTAACAACAACCAAAAAAACCCAGACTCACAAATATAGAGAACAAGCCAGTGGTTACCAGTGGGGAGAAGCAAACTGGGAGGGGCAAGATGGGGGTAGGGGATTAAGAGGACAAAAGAAAAAAAAGTCATGTGTCTTTAATGTGGCTAATTCGAGAGAAATTCAAGCTCTCCCAGTTCTTCCCTATTCCTCTGACCATTTCTTCCAGTCTCTCAGCTTTAAATGATGGTGGTACTAAATGTTCAGTCCTACACTCTTTTCCCAGTCATCAAACACAGACCTAATTGAGCAACAGGGTGTGTCAGACACTGGGAGTCAACTGCACATGAGCTCACCCCTGCCCGTGAGAAACGGGCCCCCACTGTCCTCAGGCAAGTTCACTCACTCCCACGGCTGCTGTCACCACCCATGTCTCAGATCTCCAAATCTCAGAGGCAGCCATTCAGATCTCTTCCTCGACCACCAGATCAGTGTGGGGTAACTGCCCACTGGACATGACTATGTGCTTGCCCGCATAACGCCCCCAAACCCCAACTCAACTTCTGCTACAGACCACTGGCCACTCAGCGGCCCCAGCCAGTGTCCTGATAAAATCCCTCTCCCTCACCCCAGCATGCATGCTGGTTTCACTGATTTTGCCTGTCCTTGGTTCCTCTCATATTATTTCACTTCTCATCTCTTCTGGACACCCCCACCCTCTGCCAGCCTGCGACAACACATCCTGCTCTCCAGCCCTGGCAATCCCCTGACCGTTCTCTGTGCAAAGGGTGTCTCTTCCTGGTTTGAGATCCTTCTGTGGCTCTCAGTGCCCTCCAGATAAACTCAGCTCTAGAACAGCATAACCTGCCCTCACACTCACCCTTCCCATCTCTTGCCATATTCCTTCTATTTGGCTTCAACCAACCTGAATAACATTTCTGGAATGCACTGTACCCTGGCCTTAGAGCCCTGCACCCCCACGGAGAAGAGCCTTCCCTTTGATGACCCCTCTCCCACGCCCCCCACCCCCTTGGCCTGGCTGACTCCTGCTCACCCAGCGAGCTACTCCCTCTCTGCTGTCTCCCGACACCTCCTGAAGGTCTGCTCTCATTACACTACAAGCTGCCGCCCACCTCCAAGGGGAGCACTCACTCTGCCTCATCGAACTGGGTGCTGGTGTGAGCCCAGATGAGGGTGACAACCGCGAGGAGGGAAAGGGAAAGATGTGAAAGCCACACAGAGAACGGAAGGGCAGCACCCGGTTCCCAGTCATCATTTACATACCGGGTTTTATTTTCATAACCACAGGCTTTCGGTTTTTATCCCTCATCTGTCTGATATCCAACAGATCGTGAGGATTGCCGTTATGCCTCGGCCAGCAATAGACAAATATCCGAGACCCGCTGCTGCCGCAGTCCACCACGATACCATAGTTCACGTTGGGGTTATTGGTGTCGGTAGCTTCGATGTCAGTAACTCGTGCCAAGTACCTTGTTTAGAGAAGCAGACATACTTTTATTGAGACAGAGGATACCAGTAATGCAGTAAACAAACCCCAAGTCAGTGACTTCTACGCTGTGCGGCAGCACCACTGTAACATTTTTACAACTGCCAAATGATTCAAGAGTCAAAAGAAAATTGAAAAAAAAGTGATAGTGGTAAAAGTGATCTAAATTAGATGCACACCCATTATCCTTTCAAAGAAGTTTTAGCACGTTCTGAAAAGCAAAACTCTGTTTCCAAACTATCAACACAAGCGGAAAACTCAGCTTAAAAGATATCACAGGAGGAGCTTATTCCTCAATCCATGATGAGGATTTGGTGGTTAATGATTACACAGTTTCAAACAGTTTAGTTTTTCATTCTATGCTGTGTTCAGTACAAAAGCTGCTTCCTACAGCCACAGGCTCCTTAAATTCCAACCTTATCCCCAAAGTCTTCAAAGACATAAGACGAAGGTGCTGCATCCCACCCGGAAAACAATTTTTCTCCTACCTTTGAAACTTCCTGTCTCTGGAGAGCCGCCCATACTTATTTCGGATTATGACAACAGAGAAGTATAAAAGTGATACGGCAGCAGCCAGAACGCCAATGACGACAATCTGGCGCAAGTTGGTGTTCAGAATTCGGGGACACCCCACTGGAGAGATGCTGAAGTGCCAGGAAGCAGGAAGAAGACAGGAGAGGCTGATCCTGAAATTCCGAAAGACAGGAGTTACAGCAGTCTGCTCCAGAGGGCCTCCCCTCAGCCACCTACACGGATCCAGGAGTAAGACTCTGAGCCCGAGCTGCCCCCTCTCCCTGCCGGCAGGTTATCTGCACACCGGCATCTTCTGTATTGCTGTTTTGCTAGTAACTCATTCTTATAAAATTGTATGAATGAGAATTAAGCCCTGATGGTTGGGACACTTCTGTGTTCCCCTTTTCCTTGAGAATATTAGGTAGTTTTTATTTGTACCCTGCTTTGTTCTAAAAACAGAATTACAAGACAGCTTATAAGAATAAGTTCAATAAGATCAGGAAATAAATTTATAACAAAATTAGGTGTAAGGATGATGAATTTAGAGCACAGAAATGCATGTAATAAGGAAAGCCTGCAGAGGTGGGTGAGCGTGCCAGCGGCCAAAACCTTGCCCGTTAGAGGAGAAACATAAAAAGCCCAGAGGAAGATTTTCCTAATACTGAATTCCAAGGTCAATTTCTTCCCGCTGATTGTGTGAGAAAATGGGAGAAGACAGCATTTTAACAACACTCCATAACAAGTCAATAAATAAGTTTTGTATATCTTGTGTTTTTGGAAGTACTCCTGAGACATTTTCGCAAATAAACACTTCTCTTCTCAGTTTATATCAGAAATGAGAGAGTGTTACTAAGCTTAAAAAAAAAAACTTGCTGCCTTTAGGATAAATTCTATTGTTCTACAGTTAATTTCTGTACTCTTCCCTTTAAAGAGTGCTTCATGGGCTAAAATATCTCTCAGAAGGGGAGGTATCCTGCTAACACAATGGAATTTTCCACTTGTAGTTTCTGGTCTCCATTCGGGTTCTTGGGCCCTGCATGGAGTTTGTCGTCATCCCCTCCCACATCTCCAGGGCTCACAGGTCATCCTGTGCTTCATACAACTCCTCCCAGATTCCAACACACGTGTCCTTTATGGTAACCCCTCTAGAATCCACCTGGTGTCACCACCTTCCTTCTGTGACAGGCGCCCGACTGGGGCCCTGGGAGAACAAAGGTGTTAGACAGAAGTGTAGCAAAACCCCGAACTCCTTCCACTTGGGATTTAGATTTTTTCTCCCTCTCAAGCCCTGTTTCTGTGGCACCAAAATCTCGGGTTTTACTGTGCCAGTGATTCGGTACCATCACTCACCTGCCCATGCTGCCAGGTCAGAGGTCAGGCAGGGTTCTGGGAGTCAGTCCTCACACACCATTACAGAAGTCCTCCCGGAGTTAGAGCCCTCCTGTTTCAGGAAGTGAGAAAAATCACCAAGACGGCACAATCCAAGGGGATGTCTATGTTCTTTGACAAGGGTGTGTTTAAATTCAAGCACATGTAATCTGGTCTGTGATCCTTGCACTGAAACGCTTAGAAGTGTGTTGCTGGAAATAAACCCTGCTAAGTTAGGGTCAGAGATAAAGGCCTAAATCAAAGGAGATAAGAAGAGCCTGGCATTAGTTCGTGCTTCTTACCTAAAAGCCAGTCAGTGACCCCAAAATACAAGTCTCCAAGCAGGTCTCAACTACCTTACGGTAGTGAACGTTAAGGAAGATGGGGGTGGGAGCAGGAGGCAGGCAGGGGGGCATGGAATCTGAGCTATCCACTCATCTGATAAATCTCTATCAGGTCTTTCTCTTATCAACAAAGTACCACCCCAGGTACCACGTTCCTAGTGAGTTCTCTGTCGCCCTCACAGGTGCTGCCACGCCTCCAGCCCCCAGACCTCAAGTCACAGAGGAAACAGTGGCTGACAGCCAGGATCCAAAGGCCGCGTTACAGTCGGTCTCCTTCTTGGTCTGGTGGCCCTGCTCTACGTTGTCCAGGCCTCTGAAGACGGCGGTCTCCCCCAGCCTGCTTCTCAGGATCCTCCACGTCTCCGCCTCTCCGCACACCCCGTCTGCTCTGTTCCCCAGGTTTTCTGTCTTGGCTCCATCTCTTCTCACTTTAATCTCGGTTCCTGGTCAACTTCACTCACTGCTGCAGTGATCTGACAACTGAGAGCTTTCTTTCTCCACCCTAGGCTTCTCCCCTGAGCTACAGACGCATATCTCCCAGCCTCCACTCACAACCCGATTTGAACACGGCACGGGCCCGTGACACACATTGCTGAAACCGAACTCTTTAATTGCAATCCTCTCTCTCTTTCCTCCCAACCTGCTCCTCTGGTGTCAGCTCAATCTCAATCCCACCAACTGCTCAAAGCAGAAATTCGGGAGTCGTGCCTGACCCCAGCCCCTAATCCTCCAAAGCCAATTTCTTACAGAGACTTTCCATTTCTTTAACCCCAGTTTATCTAAAATCTGTCCCTTTACGTACCACTTTTGCCTGAGGTCAGTTTCGTATCTCTTGCCTGGCCTATTGGGACAGCAGCCTAACCAGTCAGTCTCTCACCACAGTCTCAGCCCAGCAGCTCTCCAATGCCTCATCCAGTGCTCATCCAGGTTCTTCACCCGAAGCCGCACCCACCCGGTCCCTGCTCAGGCCCCCGAGCCTGTTAATCCTGTGCTGGAAATCCTCCCGTGGCTTTCCTCAGGGCCGAAGGCTGCACTGGGACTCACAGTCCTGCAGGACCTGGCCACCCGTTCCTGCTCTGACCTCAGTATCCATGCTCCCCTTCCCCTCCGCTCCAGCCACACTGGCGTCCTCGCTGCCTTCAAACTCGCCAGGCACTGTCTGGTCTCAGGGCCTCTGAATGTGCTGCTCCTTCTGCTTGAAAATAATCCATATGGTTTATTTTTTCCCTCCCTTCAGGTCTTTACTCAATGTCACTTTCTCAGGGCAGCCGACCCTGGCCACCCTATGATGGCAAGTTCGCCCCTCCAACCAGCTCTCTTCCCTGAGCTGTTTTCTCTCCTTAGCATTTCCTTATTTATTAACTACTTATGTAGTGCTTATTATGTGTCAGACGCTGATCAAATGCTTTACAAATACTAAACTGTCCCTCTCAACATAGAAGGCAGGTACTATTAGCATAATATTTTACAGATGAAGCAGAGAGGCTGAGTAACTTGCCTGATAAAAGATGATCACGAATAATGAACTGGGATTCAAGTACGTGAATCCACACTCCTATCCTGTCCTCTAACACACTGTGTGTGTGCGTGTGCTCGCATTTCTCCTGCTCATGTGTCTCCTCCTTCGTAACGCACGCCCACGAGGGCCAGATTTAGGTCTGCTTGGCTGACTACTGCATTCCCAGCATGGCAGACCCTAGGAAAGCGCCAGGCAAGAAGTCAAGTTCCGGAGTTCGGGGACCCAAAAAAGTTACAAGCTTATACATGGGCATAATCTTTCCAAAACAAACAGGAATCACACCACCTCCCCACCTCCCAACTTTTCTCACTCAGGAAAAAATCCTAACTCCTCGGGATGGGAAAGGAGGTCCCTCTTGATCCAGTCTTGTGTTGTTCCATATGGCAGCCCTTGCCACATGTGTAATTAACTAAGTAATTAAAATTAAAAATTCAATTGTGCCAGACCCACAGATATAGAGAACAAACTAGTGGTTACTGCCAGTGGGAGAAGGAAGTGGGGGAGGGGCAACAGAGGGGTACAGGATTCAGAGGTACAAACTACTATGTATAAACTACATAAGCTACAAGGATATATTGCACAGCACAGGGAATACAGCTAGTATTTTATAATAACTATAAATGGAGCATAATCTTTGAAAATTGTGAATCACTATTGTGTACACCTGAAACATAATATTGCAAATCAACTGTATCACAATTAAAAAAAGAACTGTACATTGGATACATAATAATCCTTGTATATCCATAACAATCTTTATATAGTATATAGATGCTGTTTTAATGAATGAAATAAAATTTGTTTGAAAGGGAAGGAAAGAAGTTCAGTCTCTCGAGCCACATTCCAAGTGCTTCACCGCCACACGCAGCTCCTGCATCAGACAGGATGATTTGGTCCTTGTCTACGTTTCTAGTCTTATCCCCTGGCCAACAGACTAGACAGATCTGCACCCTGTGCTCCAGCCGTACTAAACACCAGCTGCAAGTCCCCGAAGTGCCCTGCATTTCTCTGCGTTTGCAGAATGACTCTGGCGTTGGAGTCCATCTGTCACCCCGAATCCTCACGTCCCAGAGTACTGGCTCATCACAGCAGTCGGCTATCATGTTAACACTTGTGGCTGACTTTCTCACTGTATGCCAAGCCCCTCATTGGCAGGGACAGCCTCTTGTCCTTCTATTTCCCCAGTGACCAGCGTCTGTCACACAAGTGATGAGCAACCATTGTGTGTTTCACAGGTGGCTGGGAACAGGAGATATGAAGATGAATCAGATATGGACCCAGCTCTTAAAGAATTTATAATGAAGTAGAGGGGACCAAATATACACACACAAAGAAAGATGTTAGAGAGTAAACAGGATCAATAATGCCTACCTGACAAAGGGGGAAAACTGCTTTAATCAGTTCAGGTTTTAATGTGGTGTCCATATTGTACTATGAACCCAAAACTTAGGACAAACAATATTTGTGATTTAAAAGTTCACACTAAAAGGAATAAAATGCCTAGATGTTTAAATATATTTTAATATGTCTTTATAAAGCAGCTATCTTTTAGTATCTGAATTTGGTGAGATTACTACATCACACATTTTATTAGAATTCCAATGGCTCAAAGACTGAAATATCAAAGCATCCACAAAAACCTAAGATGAAAACATAGGTATTTACATAATTTTGGAATGGGTGAGATTTTTCTTCAAATGACACAAATAGCTCAAACGATAAATAGAAGAAAATATGTATCTATTCATGAGTTTAAGATTTCCAAGCGTTTAAAAAAAAATCCCTTCCCAAACACACAAGGCTCACGAAAATGACTTGCAACAATACATGACAAAGGTAAATATCCCTTACGTATAAAAAGTTCCTATAAGTAATAAGAGCAACACTGGAACAGAAAAGTGACCCAAGGTAATTGGTAATTAACAGAATAAGAAACATGAAGAGTTGATAAAATCTAACTTCATTAGTGTTTAGAGAAATATAAATAAAAACAAGACTTCACCACCACCAGATTGGCAGGGGTTAAGAGTCTGACAATACTCTGCTAACCAGTAGGAGGGAAAAAGGCGGTGGGTACCGTTGGAGAAGACCTAAGTACACACTAACCTTCTGGGGACATACAGATAACATATATGAAAATTTTAAATGTGCTTACTCTCTGCTCTCCCATCACACTTCCAGCAAGTCATCCTTAGAAATTAGTAAGATAAATTCACTAAAACGTGTACAAAGACGTTCATCACAGTATTGTGTATAACAGCAAAAACTATTCTAAATTAATGTGCATTTTAGGGGGTGGGTTAAATTTAAATGGTTCATTTATGCAATGGAATACGATGTGACTATTAAAGGTGATGATGCAGATGTGTATTTATTGACATGAAAAGACATCTGTGACAAGTGAAGTGAAAAAACTACATCATGCAGAGGAGGAAATGGGAGGAGAGAAACCAGAATGTTACCTGTGGTTAGTTACTTCTGAGTAGTGAGAAAGTGGGTCATCTTTATTTTCTTCCCTAGGCTTGTCTAGACTTCTTAAAGGGCATATGTTAATTTTTATCATCAGAAGAAACAACAGAACTATTTTTAACAAGCTACCTTTGACTGATATCCCAGTTTCCAGCATCAAATCCCCTTCTGGATCTCTCAAGAAAGCCTACCTTAAAAACCCTTCAGGGTAGAGGAATTCCAGCCTCAACATTAAAAAAAAAATCAATAACTATGGATAGCTGAACTGAGAACCAAAGAAAAAATGTTTAGTTAACAGCTTAAAGTCAAGGTCCTTGGGGGGAAGAAAGGCCTTTGATGATTCAATGATTTGTACTAGGAAGTGACATGAAGGCGTTACAAGCCTGACTCCAATTTTTTAAGGCGTGTGCAAACTGGTAACAGAGAAAACACTAGTACCCAGGAAATAATCAAGAGAGTAACAGAAGGCTAAGTCAACTTATGCAGCCTCTAGCTTGAAGAGCTCAGAGAAGAGCACAATGAAGACTATGTGTTAAGAGAAAGATTCCCTGAGGTGGGAAGTAGACTTTGGAGGGGGAGGAGAAAAGAGAATACATTTCAAAGAAGATGCACCACTAGAATGCACTGCAGCATGCATTATATATATGTGTATATACACACACACACATATACATATATAAATATAAATATATATATATGGCTGAATCACTTTACTATACATCTGAAACTAACAACATTGTAAATCAACTATACTTCAAAAAAAAAACCGTTTTTGTGAGAGCGAGAGGCTGAAGT